GTCTGGAGTGCCTTTTCGGTGAAGGTCACAATTTCTTCTAGGCAAAGGCTGCAGCACGTGGGCGGGGGGGGGCGAAAATGAAGTGGAAATTAGGGACGGCGGATGGCTGCACGAGACGCGAGGAAAGAACAGGGGGCTTTTCTTGCGCGGCGTTATGGACAGAAAAACAACAGGGTGGTTTCACGAAAAGAGAATGGAAAAAACTGCCTTGGAAAAAACTGCCTTGCTTCGCACATCAACACGCGGTACTTTCAGCAGGATAACAACGGGTCCAAAACGTCCCATTTTTTGAATCGCTGGACGACCGTCACAGATACCAGCTCGATGAGAACCGCAGCTTGCGGTACACACGGCGTGGCTTGTCTCCGGGCGCTTACACCTCTCTCCATTAAATTCCAGAGGAAACCAAACGTCATTGGATATAATGACTATAGTGCAGTACTGTACGGCACTGTCGGGTGCCAACACCTCATCGCCCGCTGTGAGATGCCATGCGCCATGTAATTTTGGCCCAGCTCATTCCTACTCGTCTGCTGCCAACCCCAATGTGAAATGCTACAGTATTAATCCGTATAACTTCCCGCCCGCACCCACCCCCCCGTCAACCCCTCTAAAATGCTCTTTCGAAAATACAAGTACACCCCTGCAGTACCACGGGCAAGGCTATTGTGCCGACCCGATGCAGCATGTTGAACAAACATGTGGGAAGGAAACAAACGACCCGCGCACCCACAAACATTTACTCTCTCGCCACGCAACGTGACAGCCTTCCATCGGCCAGATTCCATTTCCCGCCACAATCGTTGTTCCCGCGCCGGCCCTGCTGTTGAACCAGCCATTCAACGGCGACGATGAGCCACGGTGGATGCCTTGCTCCGCGATCCACAACATCCCTCTCCGCCGGGCTCAACTACGTCCTGCGACCCAAACCTGAAGGACACAGCATCAACGCTAACCACCCGCCGCCCCCTACAAACCGCCCTGCGTTCCGTGCATGTCCGCAAACACTCCAGACTGAAAGTCTCTCAACGTGTCTCGAGTCGACGTCTATGCTACGTTGCGCAGCCTCCATGACGACGCTTGTGCGCCATGCCCACCTTCATCATCACGACAGAGCCGCCTGCCCGTTCCACTCATATTGATTGGTGATGTTTAATCAATATAAAAATGTTTTTCAAACCTGACTGGTTGCCTTCGTCGTGGGAGAACCGCGGTTTATGTGCGAACGGCCGAAAAGTAATGCTAAAATTACCTGCCTGTTCGGTATGATAAATATGGTAGCATGGGACGATAATGGGAGAAGCCCGACACACCTCGAGTGGCAGAGCACAGAGTCTCACCGCAACGGGGAGCACTTAGAAAACGCCAGCATCATTTGCTCCAACAAGGATGTCATCCCACCCGACCCAAGGGTGCTGCCAACTTGCACCTCACTCTCATTCCAGCATCCATAATTCTTTGCTCGACTGTAGAGCTTTCCTTCATCCGCACTTCGGTCACCGCTTGATTCCTTCTTTTTATATATCAATACGCACTGCAGAGTACTGTTTACGTAGAGCTGTGCTCCGATTGCCTCGCATGTCAAGAGAAGGGAGCACGTGTTTCCCGCTTTTTCTCATTGCCATCCTCCATCGCTCTACTGTATCTCTGGGACGGAATGATTCACTCAATACCCTGCTGCTCGAGTTCCACGTAGACTACACAACATCAAAAGCGATCCAAGGGCCATTCGGGGACGTCGTCATCGAAGCCCTCCTCCGGAAAGTCGGAGCCCTCGTGAAACCCGCATTGAAATGTTCCACCACAAGAGCGGCAGTGCCCATGCATCCAGAGGTGCCCTGTGACTGCCTTTGATTTGCTCAGTTCAGCCCCAGGTGTCGCGGTGTGAGCACTCTTACACGTTCCCACCATTTACACGTACTGTACATTATAGTCCATTTCATTGGCCTGGCTTGGACCAGTCGACTGGTCCAATCACACCCTCATAGATGCGAGATCACGGTTGGATCCCGCCGAGAGAAAGTGATGCGTGTTCTTCGCTTGCCCGTCGCATGCAAACTTCGATATTTCGCAAATATGTACCACTCCCTTCGCACTCTTCCGCGCCTCGCGACGCGGACACCGCGGCCTTACCCGCTCCGCCTGCGCCCCTCCGCGCCTCGCCGCGCACTAGAAACGATGTGGCCCTTCCGTCGAAAACGCCTCCCCCCCGCGGCAGCGCCCGCCCTCGCCGAAGTGAGTGTACGGCCGCACCCCTCGCGCCTGCTCCGCATGGGCGGGCGGCGCCACCGTTCACCCTACCCGTCGACCCCACCCAAGATGGTGATCCTCGTGCGCACGGATCTGAACATGACGACCGGGAAGATCGCGGCGCAGGCGTCGCACGCGGCCGTCCGTCTCTACCAGACGGCGTGCAAGCTGGGGGCGTGCAACCGCTGGAACAACGGCGGGCAGCGCAAGTTGGTGCTGCGTGTGGGCGGCGAGAAGCAGATGGATGATGTCGTGCGCCGCGCGAGGGAGCGCAAGTTGGCCGTCGCAGTCGTCAGGGATGAGGCCCAAGTCAAGACCGCCGTCAGCGTTCTGGGCGAGGGGAGGACTGTTAATGAGGTCACGGGGCACCTCAAACTGTTTTGACGAGAGAAATAGGGCGCGGGGCAAGCGTCAGCCGCGTAGCCTGGGCAACGTCAAATAGTTTGGGGTGAGATGCAAAGCGATGAATCTCACGGTGTCGATTTCGCCGATTCGCAGGTTGCGATGACCAGTGCTGTTGATACTGTATCAACCACAGCAACAACGAGGACCTCATCTCGCGTCATAGACACGTGTAGGTCATGGGTACAGTACAGCAGCCTCCAATGCAATACCGTAGCCTACTCGTGATGACGCTCTATGACTAAGAAAAACAACGGGAGCTGGAGAGTGCGGCGAAACGGAGGCATTCAGCGAGCGGTCTGGAAAGATATAAGACTCGTTCAACCTAATGCAGCCTCGGAGCGTGATAGCAACACAACTACCGCTGCCCGTTTGTTCCCATGAGTGGAATCACCAGTCGATGGGGCGGCATTTGAATAAGCCCCGTACGAGGAGCCACAGTCTCTATGTGTTTGAGTTGGGAGTAATTTAGATAAGTGATTTAGTAAAGTTGGACATGTGCACTACAATGGTTTCCAAACGCTATTTATCGCTTGCGCAGCATTTCACAAAATTGCAGACGAAAGGAAACATCGGGGTCCTTGTATTTCTTCCTATTTTCTTCTTCGCTCCTACGTTTTCAGTCTCCCCTCGACTCCCACAGATGACCCATCCTCGGCCTTCGAAGCCAGCCCAGGCTTTCAAATTGACTCTGCATCCCCCTCGCTACCCCCCATGTCCAGAGACCCATACGATCTATTCGACAGTAGTGGGCTTTGTCCGGCACTCTTCGCATTGGTCGTCCGCTTACGTGGAGGCATGTAATCCCTCTCGGCTGTCGCATCCTCTGGGAGGGGCCTCAACTTCATGTGCACACCTGCCATCGCCCTCTTTCTGCTTGCAGTACTCTTCGATGCTGTAGGCGTCCCATCTGAGACTGCCTCCCTAGTCCTGTCGCTCGAGGATGCTTGAAAGTCTCTCGATGCAACATCTTCGGGGATAATATTATCGTCCTCTCCGAAAAGCGAAGATGAAGAGTACCCTGGCATTCGCACGTATTGCATCTGCACGTGGCCAGACTGTACTCCCGTTGGCTTGCCATCATTTAGAGTCGGCGAGGGCGGCCCCAGTGCCTTCCCATTCAGACCGCTCAAGTCTTCTGCGGGGATGGCGCTGGGCCCCAGCGAAGGTGACAGTTCTATCACTGAGTCGATATCTGCTTGTACATCTTCTAGCGGCGGCTGCAAGGACGAATCGGACGAAGTTGTGATCTTCTTCATGTGCTTTGCCGTCTTCCAATCCGGCCGAATCTTTTCTCCAGACTCCGTTTCTCCCAAGGGCTTCATCAACAATGGCACGTTGATATCCTTGACCAAGATTGTCTTCGCCCTCTTGTTCTTATGCAGAATCGCGGACGGACCCACGGTCCTTCTCACAAGATGGCCTTCCCCATTGCGCACCAGCACGTGCTTGCGGCTCGTGTTGTCCACAAAAGCGTCCGTCTCATCAAGAATCTCCTCCTGCAGGATTTCCTCAATGATATCCTCAATTGACACGATGCCTACAAAATGGCGATCCTTCGACGGCTTGGAAATATCGTCATACACGACGGCCATATGGCTCCTCCCGTTCTGAAATTCGTTGAGCAGGTCAGAAATGAGGGTATTCCCCACACACTCGAGCGCGGGGGCGACACGGACCTTGTGGTTGCGCTGCTTCTTCGAAATTAGGGAGCGAATGGGCAGCTCGTCGTCGGGGTTGACCAAGACGAGCTGCTTGACCAAAAGCAAGCATACGATGTTATTCGGGGAAGACTCATACAAGGGGATGCGAGAGTGTCCGCTGCGCAATATGCGCAGCAAGGTGTCCCTATCTAGGTGTGAGTCGATGTCGAGGCGAAACACATAACGTGCTTCCGTGCATATACTGGAGACCTTCTTCTGCGAGAACTCGAGAGCTCCCTTGAGGATGGTGGTCTCGTCGTGCGTGAGGACGGCGTTACTCTCATGGACATTGATGAGGCCTTTGAGCTCCTCGCGGTTGTAAATGGTGCCAAGCTCCTCCCCCAGCCACGCGTCGAGCACGTAGGCAATGGGGAAGGTGAACGGATACAGCACAAAGCGCAGGACCCTGACAAAGCCGATCATGCTCGACCCCGTGAGCAGCGGATGCCTGGAGCACACGGCCTGCGGAATGATCTCGCCGAAGAGCATGATGGAGATGACGGAGACGATGAGCGAGAAGTAGCCGCCGGGGACAAGGGCCTCGAGGACGAGCGGGAGCAGCTCCGTGGCGAGGGTGTTTGCAAAGAGCAGGGTGACGAGCAGCAGGTTGCCCTGCTCGCGCACAGGCTTGACACGACGGGCGGCGGCGGCGGAGACGGGGTCGTTGCTCTGCATGATGATTTCTAGGCTGAGCGGGTCTAGGCTCATGAGGCCCAGGGTGAGGCCGGCAACGCAGGCGGCGAGAGCCAGGCAGGCGGCGGCGAGCACCAGCAAGATGGGGACAGGGAGGAAGTGGAACGGGGAGAGCTCGGCATGTTGGTCTTCGGGGGAGGCGGTGGTGGCGACGGCGAGACGGTGCAGGAGGTAGAGGACGGCCATGGGAAAAGTGGGGATGGAAGATAGAGAAGGGGGTGCCTGCGAGTGACCGCAAGAAAGTAGAGGACACCTTGAGGCACGGCTAAGGCTGCAACGTCTGGGAGTGTGTCCAGGAGATGCAGTAAGGAGCCCGAAGTGCAATGCGAGGGCGGTTCGACTGTGCGTTGCAATATGGTACTCGACTAATGGTCCGAAGCGGGTGAATTCGCCCCTCAACGTATGATAACCAGTAGAAATATTAGACAAAGGCCAACACGTGCCTGACACGTGGTGTTTATGCTCGAAGACATGCAAAACACGTGTAAATCTCCTATCGTGAAAGTCCGTCATGCATTGCGTGGCGTCGATGCCGTCCGTGAGGACACAACATGTTTCTCTACCGTCTCGAATGCAAGTGGTAAACGAGCTTACGAGCGAGCGACGATTTTTACATCACTTGCCGAAGGCCTCGCAACCGCGCGTTATTCGTAAATCCAGGGGGCGGTGACTTGCTCATAGTTGCAGACCTCTCCATCCTTGAACCAGAGCGCGATCTCCTTCTCGGCGTTCTCACACGAATCACTCCCGTGGATGACGTTCTTCCCCGTAACAAGCGCCAGGTCCCCGCGGATGGTGCCCGGGGCGGACTTGAGCGGGTCTGTGGCGCCGATCATGGTCCGGCCCTGCTTGACAACGTCGGCGCCGGCCCACACCATGGCGACGACGGGCGACGACGAGAGGAAGGTGCACAGGTCGCCGAAGAAGGGGCGCTCGGAAAGGTCGGCCTGCGGGGGGAGGATAGAGGGGGAGGGATAGAGGGGGGGACACGGTCAGTGCGAGCGGGAGGAGGGGGGCAGGTGCGATACGGGGCAGTGACTTACGTAGTGGCTCTCAGCGAGCTGGCGCGTCGGCTGCACCATCTTCAGGCCGCACAGCTTGTAGCCGCGGCGCTCGAAGCGCCCGATGATTTCGGACACAAGGTTGCGCTGGACGCCTGCGGGAGGAGGGAAGTGTCAGCAGGAGGCGGTGGGATCGGGGGTGGGGGCATCCGGGGGATGGAGCGGGGGGTCGGACTTACCGTCGGGCTTGATCATGATGAAAGAGCGTTCGGACGACATGGTGGTGGTTCGAAGGGCGGGCGGTTGAGGTGAGCGACGGGTGCGGCGGAGGAAGACAGGCAATGCGACGGCGGAAAGTGGGGGGGAAGAGGAGGAAGATAGGGTGTGTGGGAATGAAGCGAGGCTGACAGTGGCGAAGCTCGTGCAGACCAAACGCGTGAGCATGACGCCATCATTACAGTGAAGACCTTGCCGTGTGATTGGTGGCCGATCAAAGCCGTCATGCGGCACGACCTCGATCCAAGGCGCGGCCGCATCGCGATCCAGGGCGCGGCCGCATCGCGATCCATGCAGTGCCATGTCGAAGTGCTCGACGTCCAGGCGCGGTGGCATACGTGCACCGCCCCATACACCCCCGCCTCCTTGGTCGTCATTCACATCGCTTCGGTCGCGCGACCGACCCGCGTTCTCATCCGCACCCGCACGCTCCCCGCGCTCTCCCCACTCTCCCGATCCGCTCCCCTCACGCCGACCGCATCATGACGCAGCCCGCGAAAAGATCCCCCCTGCCAAAGCACCTCCAATTCGCCTTCGGAGGCATGTCCGGTACGTTTCCCGCTGCCGTCGTCGCTCCGCTCGCCACGCTTGTATGCTAACTTTTCCGCTCCGTCATAGGCATGGCCGCGACTTGCGTTGTGCAGCCTGTCGATCTCATCAAGACCCGTATGCAGCTCACCCCCTCCGTCGCGGGCCTTCCGAAGCCGTACGTGCGCACGCATCCCGCGCATTACTCGCCATCCACGCCCCGTCCTCACGCCGCTACTAACTCCCGCCCCGATGCGCAACCCCCATCCGCAGCGGCTTCGTCTCTACCGTGCAGTCGGTGACAGCCTCTGAGGGTGTGCTGGCGCTCTACAAGGGTCTGTCTGCCGGTCTCTTCCGGCAAGTGACATACACGACGGCCCGCCTAGGCACGTTCGGCGTGCTGAAAGACCTGATGTCACCTGACGGCACGCCGCTCCCCTTTTTTAAGAAGGCCTTCGCGGGGATGGTTGCGGGCGGCATCGGGGCGGTCGTCGGCAACCCGGCCGAGGTTGCCCTGATCCGCATGACGGCCGACGGCCGTCTGCCACCCGCCGAGCGCCGCGGCTACACCTCGGTCTTCAACGCCCTCGGCCGCGTCACCAGCGAGGAGGGCCTCGCCACCCTGTGGAGGGGCACGTCCGCCACGGTCGGCCGCGCAATGCTGCTCAACATCGCACAGCTGGCCACGTACGACCAGGCGAAGGAGATGATCCTCGCCACCGGCGCCTTGGGGGATAACATGGGCGCGCATATTGCCGCGTCCACGTGCTCCGCGTTCGTCGCCACCGGCGTTTCTATCCCGCTGGACTCCGCTAAGACGCGCGTGCAGAATATGAACGTTATTAATGGCGTCCCAGAGTATTCGGGTATGGTGGATGCGTTGAGGAAGACCGCACAGAGAGACGGCGTGTTGAGCTTGTGGAGAGGGGTCACACCCTACTTCTTGAGGCTTGGGCCGCATACCATTCTCACGTTCGTTTGCCTCGAGCAGTTTAAGGCCGCGTATCAGCGCACGAGAAATTTGTAGAAAAGGCTGAGCTAACTGCTGCATCCCGCGGCTGGGGGAAAGCGCTCATGGGTAGACCACACCGATGTACAGTAGTGCAGAGTACGGAGGACAGGGCATAGCGGTGCACGATGTGCGCGGGTTGGTGGATTTTGGTGAGGGGTGAGTGCGTATGCACGGGGTGTGTCTTACGTGCGTTACGAGGGTTGATGACGCGTTATGAGACTCAATGCCAACTGTGGCCTCATTCATACTATAGTAACTCAGGTGTGCGCCTAATACGCCACCCGCGAGATATTTTACCGACCCTGTCATACAGTGTTGCACCTCCCAGTGCGTGCTCTTTTGCAGACCCCCCATCACTTCATGTGCTTGACTTGAAAAGGCAACCCAACTCGCTCCTTCCCCTTCTCACCGAGTTCACATATCCCCTCTCCTCCCAATACGTCATGTTCTTCCCCGCCTTTCTCCTGTCCGCCTTCACCCCAGTCCTCTCCCGCCGCACCTCCCCCCTCACCGCCATCTCACCCTCGCCATGTTGGCGCATGGTCACCCCTGCTGTGCGAAGCGCCTCCTCGCCATCCCCCCTTGACAACGAAGCCATGCCAGTCCCTTCCCGCTGCATCCAAGTCTACGATACCACACTGCGCGACGGCGCCCAAGGCGAAGGCATCAGTCTTTCCGTCGCCGACAAGCTCAAGATTGCCACCCGTCTTGACGAGTTTGGCGCACACTACATCGAGGGCGGATGGCCGGGCAGTAACCCCAAAGACGCTGCCTTCTTCGAGAACTGTCGGGGAAAGCTCAAGCGCGCCAAACTCGTCGCCTTTGGGAGCACCAGGTATAAGAACACCACGTGCGAGAAGGACAGGAACGTTCAGATGCTGGCAAATGCAGATACCCTCGTCGTTACTTTGGTTGGAAAAGCCTGGGACATGCAGGTCCAAGTGGTGTTGGAAGCTAGTTTAGAGGAGAACTTGGATATGATTAGGGAGAGCGTCGCCTATTTTAAACGCCTTGGCCGCGAGGTCATGTTGGACGCCGAGCATTTCTATGACGGCTACAAGGCTGCCCCAGAGTATGCCATAGCATGTTTGCAGGCCGCTGTCGATGGTGGCGTCGATGTGCTCGTGCTCTGCGATACCAACGGTGGCAGCGTACCGTGGGATCTGCAGAAGGTCACCGCCACCGTCGTGCACCGCTTTCCGGCCACGCGCGTCGGAGTCCATTGTCACAACGACATGGAGCTTGCTGTTGCGAACTCCATTTCAGCCGTGAATGCGGGAGCCAGCCTGGTCCAGGGAACCGTCAACGGGTATGGCGAGCGCACTGGGAATGCAAACTTGATGAGCATTGTGCCGACGTTGCAACTCAAGCTGGGATACGCATGCGTAGGGGATGCGCTGAGTAAGCTCACCAGCTTGTCGCGTTTCGTGGATGAGATTGCGTGCCAAAAGCCGGTGTCGGGGCAGCCGTTCGTGGGCGTGTCGAGCTTCGCGCACAAGGGGGGTTTGCATGTGGCTGCCGTGCTGAAGAACGAAGATACGTATCAGCACATCGACCCGAGCCTTGTAGGGAATGAGAAGCGCATTTTGGTGTCTGAGCTGGCTGGGAGACGGAATGTGCTGAGTAAGGCGGAAGAGCTCGGACTCGTCCCGGCCGGCGATGATGCGGGTGCACGCCAAGAATGGGGGAATCGAGCGAAGCAGGTGCTCGGACAGGTCAAGGACTTGGAGAATAAGGGGTACAGCTTTGAGGGCGCTGAAGCAAGCCTAGAGCTTATGCTGCGTCGAAGTGTTGAGGGTTACCGACCGCCTTTCGAGCTGCTGGATTTCAGTGTGACCACGGATAATAAGCGCATCCATTACGGGCCAAACTCTGAGGGTCCTCCGTTCAACGAGTCCGTGACTCAGGCGACGGTTAAAATTGCTCTCCTCGGTCCGAAAGATGGCGGGGAGGCATGTCCGACGAAGATCTGCCTTGAAGTGGCGGAAGGGAATGGACCAATCGATGCGGTAAACGGAGCTTTGGGGAAAGTCCTCTTCAGCATGTATCAACCGTTGCAGACAGTCGCTCTGACAGACTACAAGGTTCGCATCCTGGATAGTGAGAGTGCCACTGCTGCTACGACGCGTGTCGTGGTCGATTTTGAGGACTCGGCCTCGGGGAGGCAATGGACAACCGTGTACGCTCATCCAAATATTATTGTCGCCTCCGTCAACGCTTTGATGGATGGTTTTGAAGTAGCCATGTGGGATTCACTGCCGCAGTGCTGCATTGGTTAATAATTTGTTGCCCCCGGGCATGCACACCGTATTGTCATGTGCAGAATAAAGGGATCATATGTACTTTAACAAAAATTGCTCAAGAGACGTTACGCTCTGGTGCGTAGCGTGCTGATCTGTGCCTAAGGTTTCATACAAGTGCTCTGACCTTTTTTTTTTTCTTTCTCTTGGGAGGTAGTTGCGCTGCGGATGGTACCGGCTCGGGTCTTCCGGTAACGTCAGATTCTTCATTCGCAGCAGCAGCCTGGCCAGCAGATGTAAGCGGGGACGCCCGCTGCCTTCCTATATCCCTGCTGATAGGAATCGCCTCTTGCTTTGCTGTAACAGGGCTCATCCGGTCATGAGCATTCTGTTTCGATGGTGCAGTCACATCTAGCTTTGCAGCTCCCGAGTTCGAAGCTTCTGGTACGCCGGGCGCATCGTCGTCTTGAATCTCGAAAAGGCTCTTCTTGCGGCGCTTCACGATTAGAGCTGGCTTGCCTTTTGACGCTTTTATCATTTCATGCTTACGCTTTGCATTCCTCAGCAACCGCTTCTCGTGCTCTTTCTTTTGCCTCTCAGCCGCCTTTCTCGCCCGGCGCTGTTCCAAAAGTTCTGCTCGTGCCCTCGCAGCAGCGTTTGCAATCACGAACGCCCTATTGTCTCGCACATTTGCGTCTGCAGCTGCAGCTCTGCGAAATACAGCCCGTGTTTCGACAGCTTGCCCATGAATCTCTAGTGGATGCGACGCAGTCTTGACGGTTAACAGGGATGGCTTTGATCGGTCCTTTTCCGTCAAGACATGTGAATGTTTCTCTCCGCTGGCGTCCCGCACCACTGCCTCCAAGGCTGCTACAGCAGAGAAGAGCGCTTCATGCATCTCTTTCAAGATATTTTTCGCAGGGATCCGGTGTATGGCGACAGTGATCTTTAGCTCGACACCCGAGCGGTCCTGGCACGTGAGTTGTAATGCACTAGAGTGCTTCCCGGGATGCTCTCCACTCCATGCAAGCTCTCCTTCAGTTCGAAGGATCTCTGCAACGGTGGAAGGTATGGCGAGAAGAAGAGCAAGCAGTTCTACAGACGGGGGTTTCTCTCTCCCCCGCACTTTCGCTTGGCGAGCGACATCGCGCAGAGATGCGCAGTACGCTACATCAGTATCCAGAACCTCAAGAGCTGACTTCGGTGTCAAGCGAGCAATCAAGTTCTCCCCAGAAGCGCTGCGGAGAGAGTGAAACCTCCCGAAGGAGGGTTGCATTGTGCCTACGATAGACTAGAAGTGTCTCTTGCTTTTTGTTGGGTCCAGACCTCAAAAAGTGTCGTAAGAAAGTGGAGAAGAAGTGATTTGTCCCATACGAGGCCAGCTTTTTTTTTGCAAGACATACAGGGGTCTCTTAATTAGCGCACTTTTAGTTAGTGCATATTGGACTTTAATGCACCCTCTGATAGCTTGGCACGACTTTGTACAGGTGTACACGTATGTTCACGGGAGCACAATGGTCGTCGCCGTCCGTAGAGAGCGGGTTCCATTCTTTTACAGATCCCAGCAACCTTATGCATCTTCGAACAACTAATCACACAATGAGCACAACTGAACCAGCATCCGTGGTTCGAGCCTTTGCGTAGGCAGAGCGATATTGTGAGGAGGTGCGTGTTACGGAGGCGTCCTATCATTTACGTCTTGCTAAGCGAGCGTTGAGCCGTGTCTATAATGAACACACGAAGCGTCAGCGACGGCAGACGCTGGTACAGTGCAACCTCCCAATAAGAGTGCTGTTCGTAAAAGACAAAGATACCCATAGACAGAGGTTTATCACTACGGGAGGCGTTATTATCATAACTCTATCCTAAAAAATCACTTATTCTCGTTTGACAAAATTCCTCCCGCGCTTGACGTCTCAGTCCCCGTTGCACCTTTTCCAACCCCCGTAGAACCGCCCCAGAAATGTCATAATTGCTCATAATGACGTGAGCAGAAGCCAAAATGCGCAACTGCTCACGAAGGGGAGGCATAAACACTTCCTCATCGCCTCCTTCTGTGATCCCCGAATCTTCTTCGGGACCGGAGATAAAAGCAACCAGATCTCGGTCTGTGACTGGCTCTGTAGACGCCATTTCTGATTTTTGATGAAGTAGGTACTCCACTCGCATTCGCTCGCTGCTATCTTGTACAACCTGATCAATTTTGATGTCAAGTTCCGGACGGTCACGGTGCAACACAATTTCACCATTCACATCAACATCCTCACCTACGGCTTTGGTGTGACACTAGCAGTTTCGAATAACCCTGCTGTCCATTTCTTCCCATGCTTTTTTTATCCAACGCATACCTTGTAGCACATCAACCTTGTATATATTACTCTCTCCCATATCAATAAAGTCAAGAGCTCTACCCATTTGCAACCTCCTGTAGCGACACTTCAAAGCAGCGATAATTCCCGCATCGCATGGCTGCATGATTGATGTGGTATTCGGAGGAAGGAAAACAATCTTCGTGTTGGACAAGTTCAATGTGTTTACCTCTGTCATCGTTCCATGTGCGGAACAGTTGTCTAGCAAGAGAAGAGCTCTCCTTCCATTCTGAATCATACTTGAATTGAATAATTGGAGCCACTCAAAAAAGTGCCTTTGTCATCCAGGCCTTGGCATTATTTCTGTAGTCGAACCCCAGCTCCTCCTCACTTTTTCCCCGAAAAGCACGCGGCGATCGAGCGTTTCCAATTATCCGCAAGGGAACCAAATCACTTCCACTAGCGTTGCAGCAGGCCAGACACGTGATTCTTGCCTTGTCCTTTTTGGATCCACTAATTTGTGTGGCAGCAATGGTCTTGTTGGGTGCTAATCGGTACTGCAGACCGAATTCGTCGGCGTTATAAATATCGTCTAAATTGTAGCCGTCAAGCATCGTCCTGATGAGAGGTAGTGCTCTCTCAGCCTCAATAAACGCAGCCCATGCCTGCTCGCCATGATATGATATGCGTCTTAATCCATGCCTTTTCTTAAACTTTTGAAGCCAGCCGTTGGAAAAACGAAGCTCTGGAGCCGTGTCGTCGTTCGTTGTCAATTTCCAAAGACGTTCGGCCTTCTGCGTGATGATATTATCCGAAAGGGCGATGTTGCGGCTTGCGCAGTCTCTGATCCATACAGCAAGAGCTTCATCAAATCGTGAAGACAACGGGTTCCGAAGAGATTTCGAATTTGTGGATGCACTCGCCTCTAGCTTGGTGCGCATCTTGACGATGCGCGAGACAGTAGACTGCGGAACAGATCGGTTGAGTTGAAAGTAACGACCTGCCCATTCTCCAACAAAACTCCGATCGCAGCGTTCCCCGTTATGACAGCGAAGATAGTACTCGGCAAGCAGCTCTTGTTGCTGAGCGATAGTAAGGCGATTGCGTTCTGACATGACTTGGGCCGGATGGAGGAAAAGGGAGATTGCCAAGGGGATGAGATGGGCTGCCGCCAGCGACCGCACGCGCTATGCAAAACCTTGGTGGGTATCGTGAATAAAAAGGCGGGAGTTGGTCGCCCAACACATACCTGTTTGTTTCGTGTTCTGTGACCACTACTGTATCCTTATTCGAAATGGTCTTGCTTCAAATTTTAATAAATATGCAATGTGTTTTTGCGAAATCAACACACCATTTCCGTATCCAGATGACCTGCCTATAGCATCTCAAATCACACTTTTTCTTGCGGGAAAGACGGGTGGTATTCATACTGGGGGGTTTATTACTATCGGGGGAGTACTATTGGGAGGGCTGACTGTAACGGAACATTTCGTTGCCCCGTAAACTACTTTTTAGCGAGCCCCTTAGATAAAGCACATTGAAGATAGTGCACAAAGAATGCGCATGGCACGGGGTGCACTAATTAAGGGGGTCGCCTATATCGCCTATTTGGAAAGTCGCAGTTGATGAACGTGAGGATGATCATAGGATGAGGCTCAGATGGCCCTCTCAGGCTCAGAATATTGGCCTCAGGGGTCATACTCTGACCATCCAGTAGATGGCATCCACGTGTAACACTTTCTTCTTGGAGTGTTATCATATTCATGCATTAATGAGTCACAGAAATCGCATCCAAGAGCGGCGGCGTCCTTCTCGTCCCCCCCTCGAAGGTATTGCAGACATCAACAGGAACCCACTGCAAATCGTACGAACTGAGGCACAACTTAATCGACGTACTCGTCGAAAAGCTTGGGTGCCAGCTGTAGACCGTAAGTCTGAGCCGGTTACGATTTGCGGAATCGACATCCTGCTTGTAGTTCCTTCTAAGGAAGTAATCATCTGGAATGGGCAAACGTCGCGGCAGAACAGGCCCAGGAGGCGCGGTAGTTTCATCTTTGTCCGGCAATGCCGGTGGGAAAACTACGAGCAACCGTCGTGGTGGTGGACAGGGGGCTGGCGGACGACTCGGCGCTGATCCTGAGCTGGAAGCGCTGGCAAATCCTCAAGGAAAGGCGGGGAAGGGAGGGAAAGCATCCGCAGCGGGCTCCGGTTCGCAAGCCGGTGCTTCCGGATCTTTGGCAGCGAGCGGAGCGCCGAAGTGGCTCGGAAAGTCGCCCACGCAGATGCTTCGCGAATTGTGCATCAAGACTAATCGAAAACGGCCCTAGTATGTTGTGCCATATGAATTACGTGCGCGCTTCACCTTTCTGCATTCCCTGCTCGCATCTTGCACACCAAATTCTAATGTTATGTTGTCTCTACTTCTGTGCGGTATTTTGTTGTAGCTTTGGCAAAATGAGCGGGAGCGAGATTTGTTTGTGCACAATTCCAGCTGGAAGAAAAGATGGGAAAAAAGCGAAGGGTACCGCGTTTGATAGAGTTGCTGGTGTTGGGGATCGCCCAGGCGAAGAATATGCAGCCCTGAATGTTTTGCACCAGCTCGAGCGAGGAAAGCCACTGGAGCGACTGCTTGCGCCCGAGTTTCGAGATGTATGGATTGGTCTGGACAAGCGATTTGAGGAGTATGATGCCGAAAATAAGCAAAGAGTAGTCACGAAAGAGAGAAGGAAGGCTCAAGCTGAACGACGGGCCAAGATAGAGCAGTCCAAAGAGTCTGCGACTATAAGCATCTCAGCGACATCGCGGAAGTTAATCGAAAGTGCGATTGTACAGCCCAACGGATCCACGCTTGGGGGCGCATCGCATCAGCCCTCTGCTTCTTCGTCTGGAGCTAGTGGCATTCAGGGAGCAAGCAATTTCTTGAAGAATGAGCTCATGGGAATGGGATTCTCAAAGTTCGATGCTGTTGATGTTAGTCAACGATTTTCGGATGTCACTTCAGCACTCGACTATTTGTGCCTAAACTTGGACGAAGCGGAACTACCAAGATCATTCGCACCAACGGCTGATGTAGAAGTTGTCCGCTTTACATCAAGTTCAAGGGAGCAGAGCAAGGATCGCGTTGATTCTTCAAACCGAGACCATCTCATGCGCTTGACTTGTTTATCGAAACAGGCTGTGGAGAGGGCATTGCTTGCGTCGGGTGGTGAAATGACTACTGCACTAGGCGTCTTGTACAACACACTTACACACAATATGATCGCGGGATATACATTCCAATCGCTGGAGGAAAATATTGCAAACTTGGCTTGCGAGGAAAGAGCTACGGAGGCAAGTATATTATCTGCTATATATGGTGAAGACGCCACGGTCGGTCCCGGATCAATGCCGGGATTTGAAAACAGTTGGGCTGCCGTCGTGCGCTTGCAAAAAGGGTTGAATGGCATCGGTGTTCAGTATCCGGTGATTGTCGCCGTCGTGGATTTGGACGGATTTTATCCATTTTCTGTACCAGCTGTTATAGTAGGAACCAATTTTCGCACCACAGCCGCCACAGAGGATAAGTTGCATGCTTCGTATCGTCGGGTTCTGATGAGGGCTGCGACAGGCGAAGTGCTATCTGCGATGCGGTCACTTGGAGGACTGCAATTCTCGCCCGGAGAAGACCTTGTTCCTACCCCGGTAGTCCACGATGTAGTCTCGTTCTTGGGCAATGTGAGTGAAAACCAGCTAATGACAGTCGTAGCGAAAAGAAACGAAGGCACTTGCGACACTGGATCTGGACACATGGCTGCTATAACGCCTTCAGTTTCGGCGCGAAATGAGCAGATGCATCCGAAATCTACTGGAAGAGCAACAAGACGCCCTGTGGAACGACCAATGCGTGTTGAACCTTTGAAGTCTTCACCACAACTGGTTGATATGAAATCGAGAAGGTCTATGCTTCCCGCCCACAAAGCGAGAAACGAGATTATTGAAAAGATTAGACATAATCAGGTCGTTGTCGTGAGTGGTGCAACTGGGTCTGGAAAGACTACACAAGTTCCACAATTTCTACTGGAGGACGCGGCAATGGCGAAAGAGCCTATGTCCATTGTCTGTACACAGCCACGGCGTATTGCGGCCATGTCTGTTGCCGAACGTGTTGCCGCGGAACGCTGTCAGAGGGTTGGAGAAAGCGTTGGGTACCAGGTCAAACTGAACTCAAAGCGTTCCAGAGCCACAAGAGTTGTGTTTTGTACAACTGGAGTCCTTCTAAGAAAATTGCAGGGCGATCCACAATTGGAGAGCTTGACTCATGTCCTGGTAGATGAGGTTCATGAACGCTCCGTAGAGACGGATTTTGTGCTTCTCTTGCTCCGTGAGATTGCGGCAAGAAGACCTAGTATTCGGATTGTGCTTATGTCGGCCACGTTGGATGCAAACAAATTTGCTGAGTACTTCTCGAGTACATTGTCAAGAGGCAACAAACGAGCCACCGTCCCAATCGTGTCAATACCGGGCAGGACATTTCCTGTGGAGGAGCTTTACCTTGAGGATGCCGTTAGATTTTCACAGTATCGACTAAGACCTGGAGCACGCTATGCGAAACGAGTCGGGAAAGTGGTCCACAAAGGGAAGTATGGAATGGAGCCGGCGGCAGGCACTGAGTTTCCGAAGCAACGTATTACCGCTACCGCAGCAGCGGGGCGTGCTTACATTGCGCTGGACGATGAGCGACAGGAACTGGACGGAGACCTGAAAACGTATGATGCACAGTTGTCGACTGCTCAAAGTCGAGAAACAACTATTAGCGAAACTCAAAGACATTTGGAAATGAAACAAACGGTTGGCATTATTGACGAGTCGATTGTCAACGTGGATCTAATCGGCCTGCTTGTCTGGAAATTGAATAGAGATGGCAGAATGAATCGCGATGGAGCGATTTTGATTTTCCTCCCGGGCGTAGCTGATATCTCGGCCGTCGTGAGGAAGCTTTCAACAGGAGACGAATCGCACAGTCTGTGGCCTCTACCTCTGCATTCCATGATGTCTCCTGAAGAACAAACTAGAGTTTTCTCCAAACCCCCTAGAGGGAAGCGGAAAGTAATTTGCTCAACAAACATCGCCGAGACTTCGATCACCGTTGATGACGTCACCGTTGTCATTGATACATTAAGATCGAAGCAAATGGGGTACGATGCACTGAATAGGTCTTCTGTTCTTGAGGAACAATTTATCTCAAAGGCAGCAGCGCAGCAGAGAGCGGGACGAGCCGGTCGCGTTTCAAGTGGAACATGTTATCGTCTTGTGCGAAAAAATACTTTTGACAACCGGATCGCAGCAGAACAAACACCTGAGATTCAACGAGTTGCATTGGAGCACTTGGTGCTGAATATGCTTAGTATCATTCCGGAGCAGCAAAGCCAAAATGATCCACACTTATTTCTCGGAAAGGCCATCGATCCACCTGCTGCCGACTCAATTACATCGTCCATCACAAACCTTATCGAAATTGGGGCGATGCGGCGGCAAACTAGTGGATCTCAAAAGGTCGAATTGACTGCTCTTGGAAAACATCTGACTGGGATGCCTGTTGATGCTCGTGTCGGTAAGTTGTTAATTTTCGGGTCATTATTCAGTTGCACAGATGCGGCCCTCACTATTGCAGCGACGCTCGCCGAGCGCTCTCCATTTTATGCTCCTTTCGACAAACGAGAAGAAGCGCGGGCAGCTCGAGCCCCGTTTGTCTGGGGAAAATCGGACCTGCTCACGTACGTGAGGGCATACAACGCTTGGCGAGACATTCGCGAAAGCAGAGGAGGATATGCTGCAGAGCAGGCGTTCTGTTCAAAGAACTTTCTTGCAAGGAAAACGCTACAAGCCATTTCCGATGGAAGGAGGCAGCTTGCAGATGCCCTCGCAGATGCTGGCTTTGGACTCCCTGGGGCTGAGAGGTCGTTTAGGGGTTGGGAACGAGAAGAGGCGGTCAATCAGTTCAGTGATAACCTGCGTGTCGTGAAAGCAGTTGTCTGCGCGGCGCTATATCCAAACATTGCGCGCATCGATCTACCGGACAAAACGTATTACGAGGTAGCAGGAGGCACTGTAGCGAACAAATACAATGCGAAAGACCTCCGACTGCGGTCCAAGAGTGGAGAGAGGCTCTTCTTGCATCCAGAGTCGGTGAATTTCCACCAGGGTAATTTTGAGACGCGATGGCTGGCGTACTTTGCCAAGGTGAAAACCTCACGTCTGTTTGTTCGTGACTCTAGTATGGTATCGCCGTTTGCCATCTTGCTTTTCGGTGGGGAGATTAATGTTCAACACAAAAAGGGGCAAATGTCGGTTGACAATTGGGTTATCTTCAAGGCTCCGGCCAAGGTTGCAGTACTTGCGAGGGAACTACGACGTCAGCTAGACGGGTTACTGATGCGGAAATTTGAAAATGCTGATATCGATCTCGCCGAGGAAGGCAAGACCGTGAACGAGGCGATTATCAGGTTGATTACCACAGAATCTTGATGGGAGTACAAAACTTGCGATGAACAAAGTAAAATAACTTTTGCTGTGGATTTGAATTGCTCAAGGCACTCTTCATGCATCCCTGCACCAGGAACATCCCACAGTACTTGTTGATCAAAGGCGGTTATGAGCGGCAGATTGCGTCATGTACCATTGCGCGCTTCCCACTCTTTGGTTGACCCAGCAAGCCTTTGGAGGCTTGATCGCGAACGAACACCAAGGCATTACATACGCAGGCATTACTGCTTTCTCGACGTCCTTGCTCTTTGTGCGGATTTTGCTTTTCGTTGACTTTTAGTCGATTGCCTCCTCTTCGGCACGACGACGCGAACCTGCCCCTTTGGCTTCCTCTCCTTGAGTTTCTCCTGCTCCTCGCTCTCGGCCTCCTCCTTCAGCTGCGCAAAGCCCGTCTGTATTCCCCTCGCCAACGCGTAGACGACAAACCCCATAATATAGAGCCCATACTTCCCAAAGAAGCCCTTCTCCTTCCGCGTGTCCACGACCTCCTCCTCCGTCGCCTTCTCCCCTCCGTCCGGCGCGCTCTTACTCAAGTAGTCAGCCCAGTCTGGCCGGATGCGCTTCGCGACCTCCTCCGTGACAGCCAGGTCGGGGCCGCTACCCGCGCTCCACTGCCCATCGCACGCCTTCGCCGCGGCCCAGCGCAGCCCCAGGGCCTTTCCGTAACTGTCGCGCACGAGAGACAGGCGCAGCGCACCCCCTACTGCGCATCGCGGTGCATGCAGGGTCGGCGCCGACGGGCCCGAACTGTGGCGCAGGTGCACGTGCGCGGGGAGGGAGGGTTGCGGCAATGGTAACGACAGCGGGGACCAGGTCTCGCCCTGGTCCGTCGAAACGGTCAGCGAGTTGGGCGTGGCGAGGGATAGGTGCAACACTGAGAGCAGGAGGAGGGATAGAAGCCACGAGCGATTCATCGCTGCTGTGCGCGTGGAGGAGGAGTGCGAGGAGCGGCGTGGCGGAAAGGCCGTGGGACAGGGGAGGGAGGGATACAAGAAAAGCGGAGGGAAGATGTACAGTTGACGGGGACGAGGGCCACCAGCAATGACGGCCAGGTGGGGCGTCCTCAGCGGGCTACTGTACGCAATACACGTATGATGGAATTAAGTGAACTGCGGAGGCGTACAGCACGGGAGCAGTGGTGGACTTATTTCGTTTCAAGGGGGGTTTCGTTGTTTTTGTCGGCATCAAAATGTGAATCTCAACGGCTCTTACGCCCAACAATTAATGCTGCTGGCACTGACATACGTTCGTGATACTGTAGGCATGGCCCATTCTAGCTGCGCGTCTCCATTTGTTGGAACCACGGTGCCTTTGAAATCCCCCATCTACGCACACACAATGTGGAACAACAGAATTCTTACCTATCGTCCTCTGAGGTCAGAGAAGATTTCCGCCAAAGCCCCATCTCCTCCACCATGTCCCCTCTAACTCTCAGTTTTGCGTGACCAGGGTGCTCCCCCCCCCCCGACACCCCCCTCCTGCACGTGCGCCAGGACTCCCCCCGTCACTGGCCTCTCAGGCAACAATGACCACCACTCTCCTCTCCAGGCTCTCCACTGACAACCAGGACGAGACCACTGTGTGGCTCTCCACCATCATCCAAGAGCTATGGCCGTACGCAGCGAACATCGTTCAAACCACCTTGAAGGAGTATGTCGAGCCTGCGCTGATCGCGGCCATCCCCAAAGGGCTTCCCACGCCGCAGTTCACGAAAATCGACGTCGGCAACGACGGGCTGGCCATCGAACGCGTCCAGGTGTTCCAGCGCTCGAACGCAGGCACTGACGACGTTCCCGTCATCGAAGCCGATATTCGCTACGAAGGCACCCCAGTTATCGAGATGTGCGTCCAGGGGTATCGGCACTACTCCTTCGGCGTCACCAACACCAAGATCGAAGGGCGCGTAGAAGTCCTCATGAGTCCGTTGCTCGACCGCATTCCGCTCTTCGCCGCCATGCAGATTGCCTTCATCAACCCCCCGAAACTCGATTACACCCTCACCGGGTTCGCCGCCTTGGGCGACCAGTCTTTTATCAAAGGTACCATGCGTCGAGTGGTGGAGGACCTTCTCGCCTCCATGGCCGTCTTGCCGAACCGAATTGCTTTCAAGGTCGCTCCGGAAACCGACTTCTTCCACTTCGTGTCTAAGCCAGTAGGCATTTTCCGCGTCGCGGCCCTCAGTGGCTCTGGCTTCCCAAGCACTGATCGTCACGTCCTCAAGCAAGCTATCGGCCAAAGTGAACTTCCCGATGTGTATCTCACTTTACGTCATGGAGCTAAAGTTCATAAGACTGAACATATCAATAACTCAGCAAATCCGATATGGAGCAACCAAGTTTTTGATTTTGTGCTCATGAGCGAGTCCATATCGCAGCAGCTCGCAATCAAAGCGTACGACTACGATGTCGGAACGGATGACTTTTTGGGCAAGCAGACTGTGCTGGTTGCCCACCTTGCCGAACACGGCGCCAGTGAGATGGAACTCAGCGAGTCGCCTGAGGAAGCTGTTCCGACGGTGCGGATAGCGGCCCGGTGGCTCCCGCTGTCGTGGGACAGACGAGAAGTTTACAAAGCGATCATGAAGCAGCGTGTTGACAAAATTAGGCCAAGGCAGTGTTCTAATGTTTTACTAACCATAGAAGTAGATGAAGCGGAGAACCTTCCCAAGAATCAGCGGCCTTACCTGCAGATAAGGGTTGGTTCTCACGTAGAGCGAACGAGCGCCTCATACAACATGCCTGGCGTGTCTTCGGTGGAGCATCCAGAGTTTGAGAAGGCGTTTCATATTCCGCTGGAGGGCCCTGTGGATGCTTCCATGCAGATTACATACCAGGTGCTTGACCTCTTCTCGGGGAAGATGTTGGGGCATGCTTACAGCTCGTTGTCGGACGCGATCAACGCCGGGATTGAAGGGAAGACATATGCGTTTGCACTTATGGACGCGGAAAACCCAAAAGCTTCGCTGAAGGTCCGTGTGAGAGTAGCGGCTGTGCTGGATTCACCACCGTTGTGGGAGGTGCTTGCAAACCCGCAGAATGTGTATCACAGTTGAAGGATACAAGGTTCGAGTATCGAATAAACGACTAACTTCACTGATTCCGAACCAGTATCTGCTTCGCCAAATGCGTGCAGTGTGCCTCAGAGTCCCATCCTTATAAACACCGAAACAGCGTATGAACTGGCGCTTGTCAGAAGCGCATGAGGCTTGCCTCAGCATCCAGGCTCGTTGGAATGTCTTATTGCAGAAAAGATGAAGTCCATTTCGGGCTAGGAGGTCACGACAGCAAGGTGGAGTTGAAGAGAAGGCGTCGAGAGCTTATTTAGTCCTGCGATGGGTCAGGATACGGAGTGATGCGTCTCTTCAACCGCAACTTCTCAGCGAAAAACCAAATGCGCGGTCCGCTGCACGTATGGCAATGTGCCCCTGTTTGTTTTAGCGGCAGTCTCTCAGTCTCGGGGTCGCTAGCCTCTCGGCGTGCCTCTTGCGTTTGCCTTTCCGGGACTTCCTCTTCAACTGCGAGCGGGACAGAGGCAGGCAGGGTTGCCGGTTGTGGAGCGAGTACAGTGTTTGCGACGCGTTCTGCCCAGTCGGTTGCGGCAGGGAGAACTTGATAGACCTTTTCGGTCGTGTCGCGCAGGTTCGATTGAAGCTTCTCTGAGTCGCCGCCCTCTGATAGAAAGTAGTAACCCGCGGCACCTGTGGTGATGACGGAGGCGGCGACGGAGAGGCGAATTAAACCCGGAGAAGCCATGATATACTAAAGCGGGCTTCGGAATAGGTTGCCAAACCGTGTTCGCTGGCTAGTTTCCACCTGCTGAAGATGGATGTCGTCGTAGCGCGGACAGGCAATGAAATCGGTTTGCAAAACGCCTTTCGTCCCGAGGTCCAGTGCCGATGCAGGGCACAGTCAGAGAAGAGTGTGCCACCCACGGTAACCCTGCCAAGAGTCCATGCGGAAAGCCATGGCTACCTTGGGGTATTACTGTAATGGTAAAATGTAAGCACCCCTACAGTGCTGTAAGCTTGTTGTGCTACAAACTTACTGTGCTGTTAGCTGTACAGTACGTAAGGACAGTTGTCTAGTACAGTGAAGTCACTGTCAATACTGACTCTTCAGTTGTTTATCTGTAATGGTGATATTGACAGTGACTCGACTGCACCAGACGGATGTCTCTCTGAGTGCCAGGTGGGCGGCGCATATACGATCGGATGGGCAGTGTGAGAAAGTACAGTGGTATGTGCGGCGGCATACTGTAATTCTTCAGACGACGAGGAAGGCAAGGCGGCCCAGTTGGGAAATGAAGTTGTCCAATGGTGGGGAACCAAGTGTTCCTTACAGTTAAATTTGCGGTGAATTTGGCGGGTGACCTCATGCGAGTGCGTGGGCTTGCGGACGAAATGAGGCCAAAATCCAATGTCAGCTGTTGTTGCCGAAACGGTCACCGGCGGCGCAAGACGCGAAAACGGCCGTTGAGTGCACGTCATCACTCTGCAACACTGCTCATCGCGATCCGATTCGCCCATTGCCCTTCGCTTTCCGTCTCGCCGCCACGCGCTGTCAGGGCTCTAAGCCGTCACCAATCCCGCCCGCACGCTTCTCTTCGCCGCCGCTCAAAAGTCTATTTGACTCCCACTTGAACCGTCCGAAGACATCGTTCGCCCCCCCTCCCACCACCTCACCCCTCCCCGCCCACCCGCCCCCACCCCTCTCATTGCCCTCCTCTCTCCTCTTTCTTCACCCTCCGTTTTGTATCCGATAGATCCGCTTGCCCCTAATCACCTGCCCTTGCGCTTACGTCAAATATTATTTGCCCCTACTACAACTGCCTCTTTTCCACTTTCGCATTTTAATCCCCGCGCCAAACACCCTTGATCTTTAAAATGGCCACCATTTCCCCCGTTCATGGAGGCGGCGAACTCGTCGACCGCTATGTCACCGAGCTCGCCGATGCTGAGACTCTCCCCAAGGTCGTCGTCAATGATGTTGACATGACCTCTTTGTACCGTATCGCTGACGGAACCCTCTCCCCGCTCACTGGACCAATGGTCAAGGACGACTATGACACTGTCCTCAATGGCAAGCACATTGTTCGCGACGGCAAGAAGTGGGCCTGGGCCATCCCTATCTGCCTTCCCGTCACCGCCGAGGAGGCCCGATCTGCTCCCGAAGGCGCCAAAGTTGCCCTCTTCTCCGAATCCCAGTCCAAGGTCTTCGGTATCCTCAGTGTCAGCTCCTTGTTCGAATGGGACAAGGCCGCCTTCATCAAGTCGGTCTATGGCACAGAGCGTGTCGATCACCCGGGTGCCCGCCTGTGGATGAACGACGATCGCTCCACGTTCATCGGTGGGGAACTCTCCGTCCTTCCGTATGACGACCCTCGCGAATTCAAGGACAACATCTTCAGCCCCTCTAAGATGCGCGCCTACCTTGCCGAGAAGGGCTACGGCGCCTCCATCGCTTTCCAGACCCGCAACCCTCTCCATCGCGCTCACGAGTACGCCCTCGTCTACGGTGCCGAGTCTCTCTTGCGCGCTGTCGGCGATGAGAAGAAGGTTGGCGTCTTCCTCAACCCGCTCGTCGGACAGCTCAAAGGCGATGACGTTCCGGCCAAGACTCGCATGCAGACCTATGCCCGACTTCTAGATGGCGGTTTCTTGGGAGAAGGCGATATGGATGAGGAGCTCTGGAAGGCCAAGAAGCAGAACCTCAAGGAGCAGGTCAAGCTGGCCGGTTTGGACATGCGCATGTTCTACGGTGGCCCTTCCGAGGCTGTCATGCATGCTATCTACCGCCAGAACCTCGGTATCACCCACTTTATCATCGGACGTAAGCACGCTGATGCCCCGTATGATGACAAGTCTGCCATCTGGGGAGACTTCGACGCTCAGGAGATCTTCCAGAACCTTGAGGGTGAGCTCAGCATTAAGACTGTCAACGTTGGTTTCGCTGCCTACTTTGAGGAACTCAGCCGCGTCGCACTTGTTGCCGATAACAAGGACAAGAAATCTGTCAGTATCTCGGGGACTAAGGTTCGTGAGATGCTTAACCGCGGGGAGAAGCCAGATGAGCGCGTCATGCGCCCATCCACCGCTGAGGTCCTGATCCAGTACTACAATGAAAAGAACGCTGCCAAGAACTGAGCGCACTTATTGTTTTTGTCTCGGTGCCCGCCGCCACCCTTGACTGTGCCACCGTGCATAGGGGGTGCCCCGGTGGCCTTTTTTTGCAAGATGAAAATGGATTTGTAATGTCATATACAGCCGCATTAAGCCGATCCTGCCTTACCAAATAAAGAGTCGTTTTGCAGTCACCTCTATTATTCTGACTTCTGAGGCCTCTCCTGTGGCACTGGAGAGCGTAGAATAAAGTTGTGCCACGAGAAGCAGTACGGCTTTCACCCAGGGGACTGGACTTTTTCAGTCTCTCATCAGGACGGCTTGTAGCCAACCTTGTCGATACATTCGTTGACCTCAAATAAACATGTGACGCTCAGTACGCGAGTTCGCACAACTTGCGGTGAAGTCGTCGGCAGCCGCTACAGATGACTCTGGATATCGCAAGTGTGTGGTCATCTACAAAAGTCAGTTGTCTCGCATGAGGTGATTGGGGTTTTGCGCGCAGTGGCCTACATCTGTCGCTTGTTACTGTGGTAGATGAACAGAGTCGATTCCGGCTGAGTGAAATTCTATAGCAACTCATGATTCTGACGTCTCTTAACTTATTATTGTTTATGTGCGACTTCGGTGTAGCGGTGCTTTCCGTCCTATACAACCACCAGCTGCTTATCGCGACAACTGCTTAGCAACAGCTGTTTCGTTCTTCGGAATAGTTGTAGTCGGGTTGCCAATCTGTCCTTGCATTTGCACACCAGTTAAGGCGGCTAGGTTACCTCCCCAAACCGTTTGCCATTTTAACAGGTCTTGCTTCCATTTTTCGGCCGCCTCCGCAAACATGGGCCCTGCTTCTCGCGCCTGTTCCATATACTGATCCACATCTGCCGGAGTCCACGTAAATGGCATTGACATTGCTCCAAGGGCCGCTAGTGGTGACCCTTGGACGGCAAGAGACGCACCGGAAGCACCGGAGCTTGCCGTGGGAGGTTCAGCAGTCTCGTCTTGTGCCGAACCGCCACATGGCGTACTTTCAACGTCTCCTCCGACAGATTCTGTACGTTCCAGCGCAGAGTTGTGTGAGCTAGTCTTCGCAGGCGCATCCGCAGGTGTTGACTGCTGCGTGTCATTCCCTTGGCTCTCCGCCTTCGCAAGCCCTTCAGATACGGGAGTTTCCACCTCGGCAGTCGCCGCTAATGGCCTCGCTGCAAGCGCAGAGAGCTGTTGCGCCACCATGAGCTGAGTTGGGGAGTCTTGTTGGCCACTTTCTTGCATGTCAGTTGCTGGCTCACTACAAGAAGCCGTTGCTTGTGGATGCGACTGTCCCTCGTCATTGTCCACTACATTATCCTGAGCTTCCTCAAGAAGCCCTGCGACACACTCCTTCGCCTTCGCTAAGGTGACCTTCCCCTCTATTAGCATAGTCTGAAGCTTTTCGACGTAATCGCGCCATCGCTGTGAATAGCCTTTCGGAAATGTTTGCAGAACAGCGTCTAGCTTCTTCAGTGTCATCGCGTCGAACCCAATTGCATTTGGAGCACCGTGTGCAGAATTGTTGGGGATTGGGCCCGCAAATGACTTGCGTCGTTTTGGTGCAGGCGCACTCGTGCTCTCGTCGGCGCCTCTCTTCAAACCAGTCCCAATATTATCAGGATTTCCAGGACCAAGCCACTTGTATGCAGGCTTGCGGTTTGTGGTATGGACCTTCTCGACGAGATTGAGTGAAAGTAGAATGTTTGCAATATCGTAAAGGCGACGAACCTTTGTCTTTAGCAGTTTTGACGCATCTCCCTCTGCTGGTGAGGTGGCTAATGGGTCAGTATCACGTGGTGACCTGCCTAGAAGCTGAATTGCGGCCTGGTCCAGTGACACAGGCCGTTCACCGGCAAGCAAGAAAAGCTGAACAAATCGCTGTGAAAGGACTCCTAGTGACTTCTCCTTTCGGCCTCCGGTTGTCCTCACACGCTTCTGCGGCTCAAGGCCGTTATCGGTTTCGAGGGAGGAAGGTGCAGATCCGGAGAGGCTCCTGTCTGCAGAGGACTGAGACAAGGAGGGGATTGCGTTTTCTGTGAGAGAAAGCCGTCTAGATGGAGTTCTCCGCGGATTAGAGGGTGTGCGAAAATCGTCAGGGGTTCCATAGAGATCGGACGAAGCTTTCTGATTGAGGTCTGCGAGCTTAGAATGAATTTGATGAAACCCCTTCCATAAGTAACAATTCTTCGCTTTGCGGATAACGATGCCTACGCTCTCGAGAACGTTAACAATGTCGTAAATGCGGCGACGCTCGACACCAAGGGAGACCGCTGCAGCATCGAGACAGATCTCCTGTGAAGACGAGGACTGGCCGTACGCAGCGACGAATCTGTAATACAAAATTGAAGCACGGGTGATAAGGATCCGATGCGCGAGATGGGAGAACATGCGGGCATTAGAGTGAGCGCGATGGTATTGGAAATTGTTAGAAGACCAAGGACGTGAAGACAATGCGTTGATATGACGATGCGAAGGATGCGAACGGTGACGGGCATGCCGAGGCAATGCGGGTGGCACAATAGGGCACCAAAGCAAGAAGCATGGCGAGAGCAACAACTAACCTTTCACACAATAACCCCAGGGACTTGTCCTTTCTCGAGTACTCTGCGCCTGGAGTAGAAGCGCGAGGATGCCGCGCGTCGTGCTCCCTCGGCATGGGGGCGGTTCTCCACGCCTTCGCGGCGACGCCGGGCACTTGACGTGTGCTTTTGGACGTGTCTGCAAAGAGGGGTGATTGACGGGCGTGTGCGTCGTGGGTGGGCACAGATTGGGTAAACAAGGAGCAATATTGTCTTACCCGTTGTGCGGCGAAGAATCAGGATGTGGCCAAGCGAGAGGCATGCGTCCTCGACGTTTTGGAGCAGTACGTGGACGTAATCGTTTTGGCGCGAAACATTCCGCAGGCGACCGCCGTTTTTCGCGCATTTCTCAGTAATCTGCAGACGAAGCAGACCCAATTCCGCAGTTTTTCGAATTTATATCTTCTTCCATATAATACTGAGGTCAGGTCCACAACGCCCCTCCCGCCTTCGCCACTGTATTCCTCATTACAATGTACGTAGCAGTAGCGCCACCATTACAGTATTACTGTATCAATCGACGAAGTACTAATGCGGAGGGTCACGCTACGCATTAGTGCCGCCCTGTGTGAATACTAGAAAAACGGCACTACTCTGGAGCGGCAGTGATCAGTTGGATGAGAACCATTGCCCGTCCAAAACTCTGTTATTAAAGTCTGTTGTTGTTTCAAACCCTCCCTCCCATGCCTAGCTTCCAAAAGGCTCGTTTCGCAGACCTCCAATGTGATAAAGCATTGCTAACATCGTGCTCCACACCCAGACTCCCCAAAGACCCACATAACCTTGCCAGAGAGGGAGGTGACGACGTCGTCTGTGACACGAGGCACGACCTGTGTCTGCAAATCTTGGGCGGCACTAATCCGAGGGTGGCAGTAACAAAAACGGCACTATTGCGCGTCCCCTCCCCTGTAAGTGAATAAATTCAATTCAGGTCATCACGAACGTGCGGGAAGACAACTTAAGGTACAAGCACACCTGACTGCGATGGATTTGAGAGACTGGGTAGACGCCCGTACGTCGAGCGAGCAAGGAGCCCCATACACACAGCGCGCACAACTAGTTCAACGTTCTAGTCCTCTAGAATGGTTATCAAGAAGATTCTACCGTAGGGAGGAACGCAATCTGCCCAAGCGAAACATCCGCAGACGCGTCATTTGATGAGGGCCTTGGCAGGATCGTCACGGGGCTGGCCATACTTCTTGGGATATACGAGTCCGTGGAAGACATTACATACAAGGTTTCACTTGTCCGTGCGGCGGAGCCCGGTGAAGGGCCGCCCTGGGTTGGCTTGGCCCACTCGGGGACAGGTACGTCATTAACCCTGAGCTGGTCAGCAGAATGGGGATCAGGAAAAGTATTGATACAAATTACGTCACAGTTTTCCGTAGAAAGAGCCACGAGGGAACACGTCATTGTCGGCGCCAAGATCCACATTATCCCAGGTTGGGCATTTCGGACGGGCGGACACCCGACGGCGTCCTCAATACCCGACGAGCAGGTAGATGGAAGAGTCATCTTGTCGGAATCGACAAGCTGGGGGACGGAGGCCGTAGCAGAGTGTTCAAGGGACCTACGCTTTCTAGCAGCACGGTTAGTTTGGGCAGGTGACGATGAGCTAGCGAGCAATGTGCACATGGAACTACACTCGTCAAGTGCCGGATCAGGTAGTATCCGCGGGCGCCGCACTCAACGAGCGAGGCCCCGGAAAGGAGACGACTCGGATCAAGTTGTAGCTAATGATGGGAGTGACGAGAAGCTGCCGCCAGCACGTTCTATGAGGAAGGCCCATTATGAAAGGCTTGTATCCAAGGTCAATACGTCTGCCAATGAATGGTTTATGTTTGACTTACTGTTCGATCGAGCGTGCGACGACCACTCAGCGGGCGCACTAACTCACAAGATTCTTCAGATTCGCAGTCGTAAGGGAGACGTACGGGCAGGCGACTCTAAGATCGGCGCCAAAGGTTGTATAGTGTGTAACATTGAGGCCAGAGACTGTGATAGAGCCGTCATATACTCTGAGACCGTCTGCGAACCCGTCCAGGTTAATAAGCCGGGAGTGTGGTGAAGCAAGAATGTAGGAGGAGCTGTATACCTTAGCTGCAAGGATATGTGGGCTGAGGTAGAGAGGAATATATATGCCCGAGGGTTTTCTACGACAGTTCGGCAGGTAGGTTTGGATGTTGGTTTTTCAATCGATAAGTTGAAAAACAGCGGTTACAATTGGACATACTGGCTTTACTATGAAATGTACGCCAGCGGAATCCGCACAGATAGTAGGGAGATACGCCAACTGGATACCTATGCTAACTCGCGCCACACGCTGAACGGCTTCAGGTGGATGCTATCCTGCTATGGAGCTATGAGGTCGATATACCCGTTGCTGAACAAGGAGTGGAGCCTCAACAGCCTTCGTCATGTCGAGGGCTTGGTTGGCTGTATTTTAGTGTTCGACTGTGGATTCGTAGCTATGGATGCTGCATACTGGAGTGCTCTCTGGGATGAATCGGGGTCACTTTGGCAAACCCTGGCGCGGTATAACGCGCCGCCTAGAACGAGGTGTGTTCTGGAGCCGGATGTGGTTACATATTCAAACGACTCCGGATCGTAACTTTACAAATTGCCGACGTTGGTTACGGGCTTCCGCATGTGAACACTCAGGCGTGAGAGACTTCTCATGGATAGGGCTGTTGAGCGTGACAGACCGACTATGCAACCTGTCCACGTGGACAGCCTAGTGTCTACGACCGGCAATTTGACCTCATATGAGGTCAGTCATGGCTTCATATCCCTGGCGTTCATTTTTAATGATCACTACAGTGATCATTAATTTTGACGCTTTGTAGCTCACTTTCTACCCAGTGTTTCGAGCTATCAAAATGCATGTCGATAACGGCTAATCAGACGAGTCGACTCGCAAAGGATTGGCAGAAATCGGCCAAGTCTCACGGTTTCGCGATGGTTCCCAAGTGACACCTGGGGACCTCTCATTTTGGGCTAAGTCCACTGTAGTGATCATACACACATGTTCGCTACAGTGATCACAAGGGCTCAAAAGCGGCCCTTTGAGGTGATTTTGCTACATATTTCGGACAACGGAGCCAAGCACTGCTCAGCCGTGCCTTTGAAGCTGTACTTCCGGCGGTGAAGTAGTCGCTGGGAGCACAGAGCACGCGCACCGCAGCAATGGCAACGCTGGATGAGCGACCGCGTCCGTGACGGTCGGAGTCCGCGCGTGCATTTATGGATGCGCCGGCCGTGCGGACGCCCGCTGCAAGGCGCGTCCGAAGCTTGTAACAGCAGCCGGACTACCGGTCGCGGCCGCGATGTGCACGTTCAGCGCGCGCCAGTGCTTATTTGCCACGCTCGTATACATCGCGGAGATGCGACTTCGTGACTGGATGTTGGTTGTCATGCTGCTAGAAGGTAGAGAGCGAGGGGACGGGGGTGTGTAGAAAGAAGGTGTGTGGTTTTATCGGGGAAGAGCATGGGGGGGAGGAAGGCGCAAAGGAGTACACAGAGAAGAAGAGCGAGTGGGTCGATTTCAAACTGCACAAGGGCCTACTGAATGTTGTTAGCGGTCAGGCTGTTGCGTGAGCTTTCCTCCGCTTTGAGGCTGCCGACGTGGGCCGACGTGGTCCTCGTGTCGTTGTCTTCCAAGCGCTTCGCTCGAGCCGAGGGCCTCGGAGGTCGACCTTGCGCATCCCCTCGGTCAGCTGTTATGACAAGTCCACTTAGGTCCTGAGAAGCATGGCCGCGGATCGTGTAGTCAATTAGCTGCCTGACGCTTTGATGTTGCGATTGGCCTCGCCTCCGGAAGTGTACCGCCACGGTAAAGCGGGAGAGGGCGTCTGCCAATGCGTCAGCAACATGTCCTTCTTTGTCAGCCTTGCGACTAGACAGTGTTTTGACTTGATTGTCTGCCGCCTGAGTCCCGTACAGGTCATCATCAAGTGTTAACAAACCAAAAACGGGGTCGAAGTATACATCACGAGACGTGCGGAATGCCAGCGACTCCAACTCGTCGAGCTTTTGTGTCTCGTCGCGCTGAGGATCCCAGAAGTCAGCACCGAGGTCACCGCGACCCATTGCTTTGTAGGCTTAAATGTTTTTGGCAATAAATCGAATCCGCAGAAGTGGGAGAGTATTTGCTCCCGCGTTGGCTTGTACATCACGGATTTTATGCAAGCTGAGCCCAGTTGTCTGGGAGAGGAGAAATGTAGACAAAAATCTCCACATTTCCGGCAGTGTCAAATGTTGAAAGGGCAATTTCTTTATCTCAACAAGCTCGTTTGTCCATTGCATCACTTGAACCAGAAGATCTTCACTAAATAGGCGGATGAAGCTTGCTCTGTTTCGCATCAGAGACCGTGCCTCCAAGGCAACAGTCGTACGATCTAGAACGCCTGAATTGCAATGTGCCTGTCGGGCTGGAACCAGGGTCCAACGGTCCAGCAACAGCACAACCAACAAACAACAACAACAAAGAGTTGCCGACGGCTCAGCCCTACGGAGTTTCCGATTCTCCCTTTCCCTTTAAGTGGGTTTGCGGCCCACAGTAGCTCAAGTCCCTGACAGGGGGGGGGCAAAAGGAAGAGGCCCGGCCCGGGATGAATGGTGGCAGAGTCTTGTACAGGCAGTTGCTCGGCGAGTTCGGGGCGGTGATTAAGAAACCGGGCCCGATGGGTCGTAAATCCAATGCTCGCTGAGCGCCTGGTACACCTTATACCCTTGATAAGGTCTTCGAAGGGGGCGTCGCATCGCAGCCCGACGGTAATTAGCAAATACGTAGCAGCTCTACACCTCCGACACCGGAACGGTCGCAACCTGTATCCGATGGAACCAACACTGTCCTGTATACACAACAGGACCTTCGAGGGAGACATCGTCGCAACAGCCTCCGTCGGGGGACGTAAACAAGTAACAGCGCTACACCCACGTGTCGCCCGATAGCTAAGACACCTACACCGGTCCGGTCGCAACCAAAGCCGATGGCACCAACAACAAACAAAAGAACCAACACAAGAGTCCGATGACTCCAGTCGTCACAATGCGGATCGCAATCAGGCACTGTGGAACCAACACCAGATAAGGGAATAGAAATAGAGACAGAAATAGGAATGGATAGATGAAATAAAGGAAAAGGAATGGGAACCCCCGAGCGCAAAGGATAACGTAATCTGTGGTAAAAGGGAGCGTCTTGGGAAAGACGGACTTCGACCAAGGCGATATTCAACTGTGGTAACTCGGGTTACCTTTAGTGACTTGGTCGTCAGAGGGCTAAGGTATATATCGCCCCGCTGGAGCCACTACAGTAGCTCTCGGCGCTAAATCCAAGATCTAATCTAATGTTAAATAACTAATATGCAACTAATTGAAATTAATAATTAAAATAATAAAGTGAAATAATTTTCACTTGTCACCCCCCCCACTTTGTCATACCCCTCAATTCCTTTTCTTTTCACCCCCTCACGGTGTAGTCGAGTATTGCACTACATATCCCCCTTCCGAGCGCTCTTGTACGCCGCTCCGCCATCGTATAATCTCCTCGCCGTTTCTCTCATAACCCTACACCTCCATGTCCGGTAATCAGTGAAAGTGCAAGAGCAAGACGGACCTCATGTTTCCTTCATCCCCGAGCCATTAGAGTGGTGGTAGCAAACGCAAGCGCTACAGCGTGGGCTTTTCTTCCACTTCCCACGACCCTCTAGGTCTTCCTTCCAATGCCTCGATTACCCCCTGATTGCCAACATAGTGGCCCTGTTGGCCACATCGATTCCGATCCTAACGCTCCGTCCTCGCGTCGATACCCTGCTGCGTCGGAGCTACACGATAAGGCCATGCGCCTTAATCCTGTGCTTTTTGCTTCCGCTAAATGGTTCTCTGTGATCGGTGTATGCGCCTTCGATGACATTGCTTACTCGTTCGCCGACGGCGCCGGTATCCTTCCAGGACAAATCCCCCTTCAAACTATCCGGTCTTACGATTGGTTGGCTGGCATCGCCATTCCTCTATCTATCCTGTGTCACACTTCGCCTCGTGGTCGTGGGGTGTTATCGACCCGCTTCATGACCGCTGTGTGCGACAGGCTTGAGCTGCCATTGACGTAGGATCTCATCCCTGAGGAATTCGGTTGTGACACGTGGCAGTTTCGCACCGAGGGCCAGCGGTCTTACCTCGATAACATGCTGGCCTGGACCTCCGATAACCCTCCTCGTGAAGCTTACCGCCTTTGGTTCAACCAGCGGACCGTCTCGGGCGACGCTATGCTGTGGACCGACGCCATAATTCCGGCTGATTTCCGACTTATCAAGCGGGGTACCATCCCCTTCTTTCAGCACACAGTGCACTTCGAACGCCGTATTCGGTCGGACACTGGTTATTTTGTGGCCTACCAGATGTTGGAGGCGCGCGAAATCGCGAGGTGCCAATACGCGAGTCGTTACCTCGGTACTGTAGTGTTATGATAGATTGTTTTGTATATTAAATATGGTGCAGACCGACGGCGGCGGGGAGGGACAAGCACGGGCTTGTCCTCAACCGACCGCCAAGGTCAGTCCACCCAGCTTATTCTAAACGTCGCCTTCGCTCTTCGCGCGCGTTTAGTCGGAGCCGAGCCGAAGTGGACGCGCAGCACGCGAGCGAGCACGGAACCGCCTCCGCCCGTCAGCACTGGTACGTCACCCAGTGCTGCTCCGGGGCGTCGAGGCGTCGATCCGCTCGTGCGTGCGTGCATCCCTGCTCGCTCCCGCTCTACCACCGCTATCCGGGCCCGAGCCCGGTTCCGTAGCTGGTTGGCCCGCTTCACCCCTTCTCCGATCCAGGGTCTACAGGTCGAACTGCGCATACACCTCCAGTCGTCTGGGGGTGTTTATGCTACAGTGGTCTCCCGACCTAGAAGACCCCGAGATGTTTCCGAGAAGACTTTCTTTTTCCTCCGCGTCCGTACGCGTTGAGATGAGTCAAGAATACGCCACCTCGATCCGGTCCGAACCGGCGGATCCGAGCGCGGCCGCTATGCACGCGCCATCCCCGCCGTTCGGCGACGGCGACGCTGGTCTCCGAGACCGCGAACCGTCGCCCGAGTCCGCCGAAGGACAAGCGGCTGCGATGTTCGATCTCATAGCTGACTACATCGAGGAAGTCCGTACTTCGCTCCGTATAGACGTGACGGACGCCATCTACTCGCGATGTCTGGACGAGCTCCGCTCCCTACGTGAAGGGAGGTTCGATCGAGTCAGCCAGTCCTTGAAGAATCTCCGAGCACTAGTCGACGAGTTACACTCGCGACTGGTGCTCGTCGAAGACTCACGCCTCGCACAGCCCGTACTGCACAGGCAAGGTCGCCCCACGAGGGCGACCTCGACGAGACGTCCCGACGATCGACCGTCCCCGTCCGCAGAACAGTTGGGTGCGTTCGCGCACCTCTCCGCCGAGCTCAACGCTACGCGACAGCGTGCTCGTGACATGGAACGGACCATGGCCGCAAGGCTACCCGGAGCCCCCACGAGAGGGCCCGGTGGTGCCGTACCTCCGAGCGCCGTCGCTCCGGAAGGTTGGCGTCCGACTGGCGCCGATACTAGTCGGACTGCGGAAGGAAACCGTCCTCCG